TTATGCTGGGTTGAGTGCAGCAGATCGCCACACTGATTTCAGATTAATGAGGGCCTGTCTTGCTGTCTTTCCCATCCTGACTTTGACGTCCTCATCTGTGCCTGTGCCGCCTGTAGTTGAAACGATGCTGCCCTGCCTAGGTAGATGGGTAGGTGAAAGAGACTACTTCCTTTAGGTCTCTCCCGTTCATGGTGGGTGATAGCCGCTTGTTGTTGGTCGAGTATCTTCATCACCTAACTCTGTCTTCTCTACATTCACTTCGAGTTTGTGCTACAAGACATTCGACATAAATCATCATGGGTGGCGAGATCCAAATGTTGTGTGGTCTTTTCATCAGTCGAGCCAGCGTATAACCCTCTTCTCACTCCTCACACTTTGCTGCATGATCCAGTCCAGTCCAATCTAGTCGACCACAATTAGGAGGATGATCGGTGATAGTAGGTGGCAGCCTTGTCTTACTCCTGTCTTCACTTCACTTTACTTGAAAGGCATCAGTGAGCTTTCCATTGTGGATCACTTGGCATGTAGCATTATATAGCATAGTATATAGCTGTTGAATGAGGTTGATAAAGGTTTGTGGCACTAAAACGGTAGTGTTGAAGCAGCAGCCTGTCAAATTACTTCTCAGTCGACGCAGTCGAAGGCCTTTTCAAAGTGGATGAAGTTGAGGTAGAGAGTTGACTGCCACTCTATGCTCTGTTCTATGATTATGCTTAGCGTTGCGATTTGATCTGGACATGATTTGTTCTTTCTGGTGGTCGGTTCATGAGTTTTTGAAGTGGTCAGCCCATTGTTTCTTTTGTTTCTCCTCTTTGGTAACAAAGTTTCCTTCACTATCTCTCATTGGTTTTATCTGCGTTGATCTCTTCCCAGATAGTAACCTCGTTATTTGGTTGGTATAGTGTTATCAGGTCTCTCTTACCAGCGGCCTGTTCTGTTTCAGTTGCAAGTGTCGTAGCAGTGTCTTTTGTGTTTGCGTGCACTCTTCTTCACTTCTTTGTCCAGCGTAGTGTTTTATAGGTTGTGTTCATTCTCTCTTTTCGTTGTTCATCCTTGCACTGGTCTGTCTTCTGCTTCACCATCTTCCTCTCCTCCATCAGCTTCCACGTGTCCGTCGAGATTCATTCCTTATCTTGCTTCTTCTTCTCCCTTTCTAATACAGTTATGCAGGTTTCTTTTCATATCTCTTCCAAAGAGTTCCAGCGTTCTTCTAGTATTGATGTCTTACATCATGTTTACTATTCTTATTTATTATGGCATTCAAGGAACAAAGGTGCGAGAAACCGAGACTTTTCAACATCAGTTCATTGTTTTTACACAAAAATGACATTCATACCTCCATACATTCTTGTCACACACAAAAAGTGCATATTTTGCATGCATTGACAATTATGAGACCTACGACATCTGTAACCTTGTAACAGCCAATCTCTGAAGCACAACAACATACATCGTGTATATCAATGCACAACCAATGACAAATAATCATATTGAAAAGCAATCATAATCCTAGCACGACTGGCCAATGAAATAAACTGTACTATTTGACTTGCTACATATCAATCAATCAATATCAACATAGGACCAGGCACTACTGTGTAACAGTCCGAGTTGCCACAGCTCAGTACAGTACATCAAGTAGAAAGGTAGTCAGGTGAAGGATGAAGTCAAAAGAAATATAAAGTACGAGAAGAAAGAAAAGAGGAGTGACAAAATGGTGAGATTCGGTGTAGCGTTGTTAAGATGAGGATAATGTGTGTATACATCTTCGCCACTGACATCGGTTCTCAGCCACATCACCTAGAGTCTCCAACCACTGGTTCCTCTTCTCCTGCGGACCCCAACCACCTACTCTGCATCGTCCTACATGGCTTAAACCAACAGTCAGAGACTTCATACATTGGTGCCATGTTTTAGTCTGGCCACCTCGGGCCTTTTTCCAGCCTGGACCCACCTCAGCCAACATTGTGTGACGGGGCAATCGGTGACTAGGCATACGTAGTACGTGTCCCAACCATGTGAATCGATGAAGGTTCATAACCTCGTCAACTGATTTACCCCTACTCCCTAGAACTCTATACCTGACTTCTGCATAACTCATGTGGTGACACCACGGAATACGGCCTATGCTACGAAGGCAATGGTGGTCAAACACTTGAAGCCTTCTTATATCTTCCACTTTCAGTGGCCATGTTTCACAGCCATATAGTAGAACAGACCGGACTGCTGTGCAGTACACGCGACCCTTAATAGAAAAACGGATATCACGGCGGCGCCATAGGTGGCGCAAATTGGCAAAAGCCAATCGAGCTTTTTGTATCCGTGCAGAGATCTCATCGGCAACTAACCCACCAGGGTTGATCCTACTTCCCAGGTAAGTGAAGTGGTCAACACACTCAACCACTTCACTCTCTATTGTTAACCGCGGTACCGCTGAAGACCAGTCCTGGAGCAAAAATTTGCATTTGGGTGGTGAGAAGCGTATCCCAAACATTCTCAAATTGCCATTCAAAGTGTTCAGAAGACTCTGCATGTTGTCAGCGTCTTCACCTAACAGGACTATGTCATCTGCATATTCTAGATCTAAAGAAAATTCACCTGTGATTGGGTCAACGTCTGTGTAATTAGGTGAGGAGAGGGAAACCTCCATAAGTATATCTATGATAAAATTGAATAAGAATGGAGACAGTGGGCATCATTGATGGCCACCACTAGATGAGTATAGCTTGCCATAGGCTCTAACATGCCCACAAGTGTTCGAGAAGAGAGCTTTCAATAAGGTGATGAACTTACTAGGCATGCCTTTCAGTGACAGACATTGCCATAAGACTTCTCGATCAACGGAGTCAAATGCCGCCTTCAGGTCGAGAAATACAGCTATTGTCGGGCGTCTGTGAGCATGCCTATGTTCCAGGACCTGGCGCAGTGTGAATATTTGGTCGATACACCCGCGGCCAGGTCTAAAGCCTGCCTGGTTTTCTCGGGCTTGTTGTTCCCGAGCTCCACTCAGGCGTCGGAGAATTATAGAACTTAGAATCTTGGACACTATGTTGGTCAGGCTGATTCCTCTGTGGTTATCACAAGAGGACTTCTCGTCTTTCTTGAAGACTGGGATAATCAGTGACTTAGACCAGTCGGAGGGGATCGTATTTGATTCCCATATACTAGCTAACACTTCCGTTAACCTGACTAAGACCACTCTATCACCATTCTTGTATACCTCAGCAGGTAGTCCGTCTGGTCCTGCTGCCCTTCCCCGTTTCAGGCTACCTACCGCTTTCTCAACTTCTAGTGTTGGGGGACCTGTCTCTATGTCCCATTCAGGGTCCGACTGGATAGCGGGCAGCGCAATCGTGGCTGGAGGCCAGTTAAACTGTTCCTCGAAGTGTTCTGCCCATCGTCCCAGTCGTCTCCTCTGCGAGTGAATCGCAGATCCGTCCTTCTCCGCTATAGCTTCACTAACTGTTGTTGACCATTTCCCCCCAGTCTCCTTAATAAGTCTAAATAACTGTCTACTGTTACCGATCGCCGCTGCCTTTTCCATCTCTCTAGCCTTCGCTGCCCACCACTGTTCACGATCGTTGCGCAGACTTTTCGTCAGTCTGTTTTTAAGTTGCGCTCGCTCTTCATTGTACTCAGAGCCTGCAGGCAGGGATGCGTTCACGTGCATCCATTAGTTCGGAAGAAGCTGCTGATATCTACTGGCTTTTTTTAGCCACTATTTTGGAGTCGGTTACAGTATTCAGTTCCGCTTTTACAGCAGACTGAAGATGGCACCAAGCTTCTTCTAGATAAGTGACAGTCTTTTGCTACATATATCTATGATAATGGAATTTTTGATCATTTCCTTGAAGATTAGACCACATTTTCGTGCAAAACGGAACCACTTACCTTGAATAGGCTGATTTATACAAATACAGCTCAAATAAATACATGTCGCATACAGAAATAAGAGCATGCTTAATGACGGTCACTATAATTGGAAGACAATTTTTACAATCAGATGTAATCATTTAGTCTACTTACTTAACGATGACCTCAGAGATAAGATTCTGTATTAAAGTGGGAAACAATGCTACGAAAAACGAGTGGGCTTGAATTCGTAAGTCGATGACTCACCGGATATTACGCAACATATGGTTCTATATCCTACCGGAGTGGAAATAAGGATAGAATTGAGGGGAGACAATCGCTTATGTAGACTTACAGCAAACCCGGACAGTTACTGACCTAGTCGAACAGATAGTTAGTGTTAAGCACATTACGTTAGCATGCACCCATTTGCATACATCGTACGAAATGATCAGATTTCTGTATCCAAAAAAAGCAACACAGGCATCAAGCAGGCATAATAAGGTTAGACTTATTTCATAGCACACTTCTGACTAGTTGCAGCACATTTCCATGGTAACAACCACACCATCTATGCAGAAACCTAGGTATAGCCGAAACCACAAGGTGGTTAGAATTCCTTTTTTGAAAAGTAATTCAGATGTTTTAAGTAAGGTTTGGACGGGAGCAACTGGCATTATTCCTGTAATAACCCATGTACCCTACTACAGAAAGATTCGAATATCGAAACTCCTTTACTGCATAGTGAAAGTTAAATCACACTGCACATAGCTTTAGGATATAGGCATGAGTCTTATTTATTTGTCTTTACCGATACCACCAGGTTGACACATTGGACAGAAGTTGAAACCCAGAGGTGAACACTCAACAAAGAGCACAGCAGAGGTTTTCCTGTTGAACAACCAATTCCCGAACTCGAGTTCGATAATGATTGCCTATACAATCAGCTGGTAACAATAATCCTTATGTTTCATCTCTCGGAGGCCTTTGGGTTTGAAATTAAATCTACACTAGCTAATACAGTTTAAGACTCATTTGTCAATCTCATAATTTGGTGAATGTGTCAGATACACTTTGCACCGACTATACATAGATGAAAGGTCATTTAATCTATCATTTAATAGAACCATAGTTAAAACTTGACGTACCAATATTTTGGCAAGAACACCATCCTCATCTGACTCCAGTGACATAACAGCTTTGTCTGTCAGAACTTCACACAGAACATCTCCAGCGAGTACTTCGTCCCCTTATTGCAATAATGTACATTATATGACAACTATGAATGTACCTTCTTTCTTAAGCCAGCTTACAATGCTGCCTTCTGACATAGTTGGTGATAAAGAAGGCATTTTTAAATGCACCGGCACTAACAATAACAAATATTATACATGACCCTACATTTCATCTGTCTAGAAGTGTGCATAAATTTCCTTAACCCAGCTAACCCTGAGAAAATTAGGCGCGATGACATTTTATTTTGTTTCTTGCGGGTGTTAAGGAACTTGAAAAACTACCATCAATGCTAGTTTTTTGTGCAGTAAAACAACTCATCCTTCATAAGGTTTTCACTACATTGTCAGCTACCGTCTTCAGTGTAATTAAATTGATAAAACAAACGGTTATTTATCTAAACTTTAGTGACAATCAATATATGTCTTCTGTTCTGACGACGGGCTAAAAAAGATACCTGATTTTTCGAAGTACTGGAATTAAAATCCTCTACGATTTTCGCTTTTTAGTGCTATTTCTGTTTTTTAAGTCGATCTTATATCTTTTTAATGCATGTCAAGCTCAACTTAGTTACTCTTTAGATCACTGTTGTGTTCGTCGATACACTTCAGTCAAAATTGGATCCTACGTCTACCCTGAACACCAGTTATACGAGTATAAGAAACTGTTGATCGTCCATCTCTCACGTCTACTTCTTGACGCCTCGTTATTGTTGTTCAGTTCCTTCAGAAAGCAAGATGAACCCTTCCGTTTCCTGCCTTTAGCTCCGTCGAGATGAGTGTTTCTAATGGGTTGCTTTTTGCAGCTTGAATGTTTATGTTGATAATGAATGGGAAAATTATTTGTTATCCTCTGATCTTCCCTCCTGCTGTATTAAAGCGTGCTGTGAACCAAGTGATGGTGCTTCTCAGCCACAGTCCAAGTAAACCCAAATTGAGGGTTCAACTGTTCCACCATTATCACATTCGTGACTGACAACTAGGGGCATTATCTGCTTATCCCATTGCTAAAAAGCAGTAGGAAAAAACTGGGAAGCTATTTGGGCGCCCAGCAGTTCAAGATTGATTGTAAACAATACTTTTCTTCACGCAAAAAAATAAGCGAAAGTTCAAACCTTCGAAACCCTCATTTAGGCGGACTTTACTAGCTTTCTTGAAGGTTCTACATGAAGAGCTACATCTGAGCCTTTCTCCAGTTGAGTTTGGCTCTAGCACAAATTTAGCTGTCCATACCTTCTACCAAATCATCCTTTCTTTTAGATAACGTTGCCAGGTACGAGTCACGACCACTGGAAAAATTGTGCTTCCACCTGATTTATAGGGATGATTTTTTATACAACTGCAGTATCAACCTCAAATATGACAACAGTTTTGGCCGATATGCTGGTCAGAAAAAGAGTAATTGTTTTCGTTCCTGAACATAAACTCTCGACCACTGAAGAAGATGGAAGCCAGTGGGACTTAGGTCATATCTCCAGATGTTCACAATCTTGCATCGAAATACAGCGAGGTACTTGCAACTTCGGTCTTCAGTAAACAGTGTCAAGTAGGTAAGAAGTGGCATTCACAGCATGAAAATATACCACAGGTCGCTTCAACCAAATATAACTAGTTCTATTGGGGAAAACGTTTGTTGGCACAAAAATACTTACGGGAAACCGCCAGACGAAAAAATTGAATGACAATACTAATGATAATAATGTTTTCATACAACAAAGGTTACATGAATACAAACCAGTTTACAGGTTTGATCATTTTGGTAATGAGAGATGACTATTATGTACAATTTTATGCTGTACATTAGATGCTGTGATTTATGGCATGTAGGAGGTGTGTTGAGGCAGGCTCAGTTCGAATTTGAAGATTATCCGGTCATCGTTTGAATCATCCGGTATTCTCGAAGGTGAGGCCGCATCACAGTCATGACCTTGAGGTGTGCGCGTTCGTCACAGCGCTTTGATGGCAACATTTCTCATTGACGAATGCGATTTGTAGGGTTCCATTTGAATGCAGGACTGGTTAGGTAAATCTGAAAAGTGAATAACAAAAGCGAGCAGCAGGCAAAATTCGAAACGGGAGCACAAAAATACGCAGGAGTAGATCAACCATGATACATCTAGGTGAGTTTGTACTGACTGTTAAACTTACTTGAAGAAGTGTCCAGAACCAACTGTTTAGAGGTAATTTTGGGTGGAAGAATATGAAGGTGCGCACGACAGTGATGAAAATCAGTCTGCAGCTGAAGACATCACTACGAAATAGAAAGATTAGAGGATATTGGACCAGGTATTAACTTGTTATATACCTATGTACAGGCGTTTGATGAAGTTATAAACATTTAGGTGAAATTCGTGGTTTTTTTATCTTTTTATATTTTATTTTTATACAACCACAACATGAAAAGATACAAAAACTAGAATGGATTACATATGCCACATTCAGAGAAGATGCCATGAATTTTAGCGTGAAGGGGGTGATGATGGGCATCTTAGCGTGTAAAACTAGAGAATCTGGTGTAGGAACGTCAGCGAAAAATGTCAGGGGTAGTCTGTTTCCAGTAATACAACTGAGTGTACTTTAACTCCTTTTTGAGCCAGGTGAGTATGCTATTCGTCAGATAATGGCTATCCTGGTATGGTAATGAGGGTCAGGCAGCGGAGGGTAAACTGCCAGATACACAAGGTTTTCACTATCCCGAATTAGAAACTGTTTAACAGTGCAGAACAACTACCTAGATTTACCTTTGAGTTATGATCACTTTCACCATCTCGGGAACAATAAGGTTCTATGGGACTATTTCTGAATCTGTTGTAAGGCACAAAGAGATTGTAGATATCATTTGAACCCAAAAGCATCTCAACAAGGCGCTTAAACCGTGACTCAGAAGTATTGCTACGTAAGGATACGGGTGGCCTTTTCCTAGTCAAGCTGTTGTATGCCAAGAGGAATTTGTATCTGACCTGCCTGCTGCGTTCGTCCAGTACTAACAAGAATGTATGATTACTAAGGTCAAATCGCGGCGCATATTTCCAGGCGGCCGTGGAGTAACAGTGTGACAGACCATGAAAAATTGTGTGTGGGAGAACCAATTTGTTACTTAGACATCGTTTCCTTAGCGGTTCAACAAACACCATAGTGCACCTATTTGTGTAATCTACGCTGTTGGTATTCCCAACAGTCATTCGGTGAAACTTATTTGCAAATATTCAAGTGGGGGTTTTTCAATATTGTTCAAGCCAGGAAAAATGGGTGAGCCATATTCCAATCTCGGTCTAACACGAACCTTCAAAGCAGCAGCTCTTCTAGAGAATCCTGATGATCTAGCTTAGGAGACAATAGCTGAGACATGCCCAGTGAAGCTGTTATTGCCAGAATATTAGATGCCCATTGGGCTCATCAGTTTCAGAATCTTCTACGCACAGCGTGATGACAGGATGAGGTAAAAAGTCTTATGCTTTTCATTGTTGAACTCAAGTCGCCATTTCTCACTACATCCAATTCTATCATTTTAATCAGCCTGAGATGCTGACAGAACTTCGGCAGTTGCATCGTACTGGAAGCTGTGAACAACCTTAGGGCTATCTGCACAAAGAAATGCTTTTCCATATCTCACCATCTCACACATGTCATTGATATACATGAGAAAGTGAGGTGGGCCAAGTACTCCCTTTTACCACACCACCTGTTACTGGCTGAGTGTGCAAAGCAGTCGTTGAATTTAGCTGGGTGAGAACCTTCATCAAGAGGTAATTCGAACCAGTTACATGTCGGACAACCTAAACTTCATAAGCAGCCCCTGTTGGGGCGCTTTTTCAAGTGCCTTCATGAATTCAGAAAACATTCACTAATCAGAAACCCCTGATCATACTTTTGGGTGATATGTTCGAGATAATCCAACGTGCATGTGTCACAGAATCTGATGTTAGGATCCCATGCCGCGAAGTCAACAGTAAGTTGTTATCGAATAGGTAATCCGCTACACTATTCTTTATAATTTTCTTCACACTTTGGAAACCATCGGCATGTTATCAATTGAATGGCAATTATCTACACGTCCAGTTGGTTCGGATTTATGAGTGGGGAAAAAATAGGTGGTTTTCGAGATGAACGGGTAGCATGTACTGTTGAGTGACAAGGGAAATAACTTTAAGAGCAAGAGAGGTGTAGCGGCCAGAATCCAATGATCTTGGCCTGAACGCGGGAAATAGCTAGGCGGTGCCAACTGACGTGAATCTGGCTGGTTCCTGCGTTCTACTGTATAGCTTCCTAACTTCCGCGAGTGACGCACAGTCAGAGGTTGGATCAAAATATCAAAACACGGTTTGTAGTAATTCAATAGTAGATTCGTAACAAAATCTGTGGTACTATCAAAGCAACAATAAGTAATGTCAAATTACAAAAATACCTCAACAGTGCCGTTGGGTAACTATACAGTCCAAAACGTTCTCGGGTACAAATACGTACTACACGGTAAAAACTGGTTAAAAAATACAACTGTTAAACCTGTCGGTCAATGGGAATATTCCCGGCAAAAGGGATCAAAACTCTGTCTACAGGAATCAAATCAACAAACAAAGTTCCCAGTAGACAGTCAAAAGACAAACAGTCAAATCACTGCACAACCGTAAGTTGAACCAAAACAAAATGTCGTGTGCAGTAAAACAACATCACCTTATCAACAGTTCAGCGTCACATAATAGGAAAGTGAAACACTCATAATAAGTCTCAAACATACAAAGGCAAATACCGAGTGTAAAGTCAAATAAGACAGTTAAACAAGCAAATAACATTACACCGGCTAGGGTCAAAGGTACACCATCCATAACGAGGGTAAGAATATAAAAATAAATGTCAATACAATCAAATAGGGGTGATCGGGGGGTTTTTCAGATCAATTTTCCGTTACAAGAGGCACATCTTCCCAGTCTTTTTTCAAGAACGACGGCAAGTATCCCATCTGGCCCATCCGCAGTGAGACTTTCGGGTGGTATTTGCCAAGGAGACATTTTGCGCTGTAAACCTCGTACTTATCCTAGGGGAAGGCAATATTGACTGCTTTATCTCAAATACATGCATTTACTTATTTCCGATGGACCAAAGTGGTTAGTGAGGCTCTCCGAAATTTTCTCGGGATCACCAAGTACTTGACCGTCGCTAATGATACGTTGTGTCATTTCAGATTTAGGTCCTAATCTAAGCACCTTTGTAAGGGATCCTTTGTTGCCAGGGCACACAGCTGGCC